CGCGCCTGCCTGTGAAGCGCCCGTGGAGAGGTGCGTAGGCAACCCAGGCCAATAGGATGCCTGACGGGTTGGCCTACCACTTCGGAGGCGTGTCTGTGCTGGTCACGGCGTGTTGCCATCAACTTGAAAGGGGCCAGAAAAATTGAAGAAATAAAGGACTTGTTTCACTTTTCAAAGTGCATTATATACATATAAATAGAACTTAGAAATTATGAATAACTATTTTTAACAACAATCAGGCACAGTACTAAGTTTCATGGTTTCCAAACTCATATCAATATTTTTTATAACAATAGTATGAGTACTTTAATTTGCAAAATAATTATAATTCATAGCTCTGTAGTCATAGATTAACACGTTCAGTGCAGCGCTGACAAAAACAGCATAGCGTGTCTACATTGAGGTCACGCTGCACTGAATGTGTTAAAATCCACACAGAGTTCTAGGTATGAGTCGGTTCAAGTTCAAGTTCCTAACATACCCTTCAAAACAACAGTTACATGGGTGCCTGCATTTTTAAATTTTCAAGTAATTTTAAGGTTGCAAAAAAAAATAAAAATAAAAATTCATCGAGACAAAAGAGTACATTCTATAAAAGAAGTTATTCTTGAGTTTATGTCTGACAGTAGCACACCTTAGAATAATACGACTCCCAAAACAACCCAATTCCATAATTTGTCATAATTGGACCTGTAAGTCTACAACTCAAAATTTACATTTGCAGGAACTTTAGATGATAACATATGTTTCCAAATTTCTGGATTGTTGAAATATTGATTCTCAACCATAATATAAGGATAACACCAAAATAAATTGGGTAAATCATACCATGCACTTAAGTCAGTAGTTGAAACGGAATGTGTCCATAAAAAAAATTAATAATCAACGGTAGTTGACAAAATAAATAATGAAAAGGCACATATATGTGTCTGCATCTCTTTTACAATAAGAAAGGGAACAAAAGTAGACACATATGTACCTAAAACATACAAACAACAGGCTTCAAAGAAATCCTGGTGTGCATCAGAACACCCAACTTTACTAAAAAGAACCCAAGAATCCATGTGGCAGTGGTACCATATGCAAAGGGTAATGCAAATCCATGCACTAAAATTAGGGTACTCTCATACAAAAATAGTGTCCCAATACACACTCTCTTAGACACACTAACAATATAACAATGGACTATTTAAAATATGGATTGATTTATTTTTTTAGAAAAACTAGATATGTAAAAGAACTTATTTTAATAAACAATACACAATAGTCCATTCTCAAAGTGGCAATAGTCAGAAAGGATTTTTTTCAAAAGCCTGCATTATACGTTCATGTATCAAAACAAATGCATGAAAACAAGAAAGCTGAACCCAAGTTTTAGCAATCAGAGGGAGAATAGTGATTATCAGCAAACATGAAAATAACAATCTCAATCTATTTGCTTCACCACAAAAAATCACTGTATGAATTTTCCAGGGGGTAAAAAAAGACATGAAAGGATGTTGACATTGAGGACAGTAATGTTTGTCATACTAAGTGCAAATAACTTCTTGATGCTAGTATAAAAGAAAATTGTTGCACATACACTGAATCAAAGCACACCAAAGAACTCTTAATGGTCATCTGTTAACTGTGTTCTCTGGTTGTGAACAGAAAATAACATCACAATCACAATAAATAACGCCGTGTAAGCATACAACGTAAGTTGGGGTACAACTTTTGTAAATGATAGTAGTAGAGAATAAGCTAAAAAATAAATTTGCAAGCACGATTGTGCACCACAAAAAATGATTACAACCAAGAAGTAATATCACCACCTTTGGTTTTAACTTTTGGGTAAAAATATGAGCAAAGACAGTTCATTCATTCATTCATTTAGTCAAAATCATCAAAGAGTACAACATGATCATTTATCACACATACTATCATTCAGTATGTCTCACTTTTGGTACAGAAGCAACAAAAAGTATTCTAATAAAAATCAGGATGGTACTCCATCTAACCAATAGACATTCAACAGAATTCTTGACCATAATTTAAATTATTGCAGTTTACTAGAATTACCATAAAGAAGAAAAAATAGAAAGAAAAGCATGAGAGAAACAAGAAAAATATAGTTTAGATAGTTAGGAATCAAACCTCATTCAGTCAGACCATCTCAAAATGTGATATCTGTTAAGAATTCAGAAATATTGATTGCAATACAATGGGTATGGTACCCACAATTTAGTAACTGACCTAATAAACTGATATGAAACACAACAAAAAGAGATCTACTACTGTGATTCTTGGGTCACTACATCCCCAAGGTAGGCTATGCAGAAGGCTTTCCTTCGGACCAAAAGACCTAGTTTATTGAAAGTTCTTTTTTATTTATTTTCTTTTTATAAAATGAGATTCTCTAAAAGGAGTGAAAAGTTATATTTTGTAAGGTCATCAATGCAGTAGACCGAGTTCATTTTTAAGTGAGGGTTAAAAACAGAAATTACTATAAAATTTAGATTGAGACAACATGTGTGATTCTATTCCAAAGTCGAAGAAATCAAAAAAGCCCTATTTGAAAGTATACTTTATTTAGTGGCACTAACTGCTGTTTTGTGAATAGATTTAATGTTACTCAGGCTGGCTTGAACTGAGACAGGAGCAGAATTCATAGGGGGGCTACTTGGCTCCACAATATCAACATCCATCTGAAAAAAAAATTTCATGTGAAATGACCAATAATCAGACAAAGGTCAGAGTACCAAAACAGAAATAACTACCTTGTCATCTTTAGATTCATTCTCAATTATGGGTCCATTCTCTGCCTCAAACTCCTTCAAAACAGCATCCAAATTAAAGCGTCTGCGTTGATTTGTGAAGAAATTGCGAAGATGAGCTTCAGTTTTAGTGCCAATCATTTCTGAGATGGCCTGGAAGTCCTTGCCATATTTTCGCATTCCTGTGGTAGAATTATATTTGAACACAGCATCCACAAATTGTAGGATGGTAATGAAAAGTAGTGATGACTAAACTTACCTTGCACGGCCAACATCATCTCATCATTTGTCCAGCGAGCATTAATCCTGTTGGTTGAATCAGAAGGGCGATATTCATCAATACCATTTGATGTTCGCGATCTCTTGGCACTTATTGCCTGCTTGTTGCTTTGAACCTATTTCATGTAAGAAAAACTGGTTAAAACAGATTTTAGATTAGATTAAGTGGATGACAAAGGTTGGTAGCACACCTGTCTTTTTAAGGAAACAATCTCTCGGTCCATGGTCCGTAGCATTTGTTCACCTAAACCAGCAGGTCCGCTGGCCATAGCTATCAAGTCATCATGATTGACAAACATGCCACGAGGGGGTTTACGTTTGTGACGGAGAAGTACATGAAACTGACGGTCTCGAGGTTTGGCCGGTCCCATTGTTGGTCGCACATTTCCAGTTCGTCTGTATAAATAATGGTTGTGTGTTGGTTTTGCAAATAACTTTCAAGCAAGCACTAGATCAAATAGCATGTAATGTATCAAGACTTACGTCCAATGATTAAAGCATGTAGAGCACATCACACCTTTAGGTGTGCTATGAGTTTGTGAACAGGCCACACTACAGTTCGAACATGAGCCTTTCCCACTAGATTCTCCATCCTTTTTCTGTGAAAGGAAATTTTACACATAAAAAACTGATGGTACTGAAATAATCATTTCAGATCTTCAAATGTTCAATTGTTAGTCTGATGACTACTGGTACGTAAACAGAGACAACTACATGCATGTGAAATGTTAAGCAAAAGTGCTGGAGTAGGAACTAAAAAGTAAGTTGGTTAATATTTTTTTTAAAAGAAGCATGAAATGCATTGCAAAGCTTTCCTAAGAAAATCAAGGCAGAGACTCAGACTGGGGATAGAATGACCATCCAGGCATACAAAATATGTTGTGTCTTCACTGCACTTGAATTCTCTGATGAAAGACCCCAACAGAATTGGATGAACTGAAATAGGAAATTGCACCAAGACAAAGGTCAGAAGATTACCATTGTTAATTAGAGAAATTGATATAAATTAGGTTTCTTTTGTGCAACATCATGCAAGTGGGAACAGTCCTGAGATAACAATAGGACCTCTAAAGTATGAGAGAAAAGCAGAAAGCTATTCCTAAAAAATAGATGAACTTCAATTAAGATTTAAAAGTAAGTGCTGGTTTTGATCTTGAATACTGCGGAATAAAAGCAAGAAAGTGTTAGGTAGCAGAATATAATTGCCCGTTTGAAAGTGGAACATACACCTGTAAAAAATTTATAATAACAGCAGAGATGAGGGGTGTGAAAAGGCAGAATTAGGCTTAGAAGCAAATGAACTCGTGAAATATGTCGCAAATGAACAGAAAATGCCACAAAGCTTTATTGAGGTAAAGCACAGAAACAAATAAAATAGCTCTACAGTGTCAAATTTTCCAAAAAATCTTCAGCATAAGATTGTACACCTGGAAAGCAGCCAGGCAGTGACATGCTAAAATGAAAGCCAATCTCAGAGCAATATTCATACAAAATCCCATTTTGCTGAACATCAGAACTCCAGAAGTGAAGCCACAATACAGGAACCACACATACCATGCTCCCAGCTTCTTCCACTTGGGTTGTTCTTGGGGGTGAACCACTCCTGCGGCGTATGCCGCGATGAATTGTCCATTTCTAGAGCGTGAAACAACCCAAGAGACATCCTTTTAAATTAAAGGAAAGTTATGAGCTCGTACCCAATCTTACTGAAACCCCGTAAAGGAAGGCTGTTTCTTCATGAAAGTACACCAAAATTTATCCTTACTACATCACAGTGAATGGGATACATTAGAAATTCATAATTCTTCACCACTCTAATGGTACATAGCACTAAATCTAAACCAAAAGTATTTATTAAAACGTAATTAAAATATGTGGAAGCTGATGAGGCTAACTACTGACAACAAATCCCATATTAAAATGCACAAGGTACCCACTGCAAAAACACAAACGTAACAAAGAAAAACAAAACAGCGCCGCTCGTCAAGCGTCAAATACTGGAGGAGTTCATTGGTCAGATTGACATACCTTCTCCTCTGAGTCAGAGTCTGTGTTGGACCCCACCTCTGAGCCACCTTCACTACCATCTTCCCTGTGGGATGCCAGCTTTCTTGCCTGTCTATCCATTAGACTTGTTCGTGTACGGGTCTTCTTCCATGAATAATAATATTTAACTAAGCTAGCAATTGATTTATCTGGAAGCTAACATTCAAAGACACAAATGACACATATGAAATGAAATTTGCTTCAAAATATTGATGTTGTTGAGTAGAAACTTACCATTTGACGAATTCGATGAAAGCTTTTGCCGTGAAACTGAAAGGCCTGCTCAAATAATACTTTATCCTCAACAGACCACTCATCAGGAAAAGGAGTGAAATTTGAGAGATCAAGAATAGCTCGCTCCAAATCATGCTTGTGCCAAAAAAGCATACCCAAAGCTTGCTCTCCATTATAGCCATATCTCTCTTTGGCAAGAGAAATATAGTCATCCACTGGAAAGAATAAATTATTAAAAAATTAAATAAGGGAAAGGATTAGATAGATAGAAAAATTCTTTTTCACTACCTTCATCTGTTTTATAGATAAAAAAAAACCAAAGGAAGAGAACTTACATTTACTGTCAGGAATGTCCACTGTAGGGGACCATACAAGAAGAGCTCTATCTTGGAGAACGGTTAATTCAGCCTTGCGATCTAAGGTGTACACCAAACAGAAAAACAAAAAAAATCAATACTATGCAATGTGGCAAGAGTTAATACTCGTCACAAAAAAGCAGAAAATTATAACAAGTTCTCTCAACAGTGGTTGAAGACTGGGAGAGAAAACGCAGATGGGAATTACCTTGTAAGGGGATGAGGTCTGGGGCGATAGCCTGATAGTCTCGGCCAACTCTGATCCTCTCATCTGTGGGACAATAACGATAATTTAAGACTGCTTTTGAAAATAAAATACCTCAAAGATTAGGAGTCTTGTGCCACCTCCTAAATAAGAATAAGGACCACAAATACAGAAAACTGACAACTATAAAATAACTACACCATCAAGATAAAAGAAATGGAATTATGAGATTAGTGAAATAATTATTAAGACATGTCATGTAGAGTAATATTGGGGGAAAAGTATTGAACATAGCATAACCTAATTTTAATGAGTATCAGCGGGACAACAGCAAAATAAAATATCTTTTTACTTTAAAAAAAATAATACATAGGACAGTGCAAAAGGGGGTAAATCCCCTTCCCGAGCAGCTTTTAAACACTGACCAGCTTCCTCTTCTATGCTCGAGTCCTCTGATGCATGTCCATTGGGACTAGGTCCGCGGGATCTTTTTCCATTTCTAACATTATCTGGGTTTCGCTCCGCTAAAACCATCTTCACACTTAAAAACTAACTCAACAAACAGGAATTCGACCCAATTGTACGCGAACTCGAGGGCTAAATATGATAAATACGGCTCCGAGGACCACTCTCTGTTTCTGAAGTCCAAACTAAAATCAACATCAAACAACCGTAGTTTTTCGAAACGGCACACTCGATTCTTAAATTTGGTCTTAAAAACAAAGAGGCAGTGACCCGATAGCCGAAGTGCCGATTCTTTCTTAAGGAAAAAGTAGACGTTCTAAATAACATTTAACGTTTCACAACGACTTTCATGTAAGAGTGTTCCTCACAAACAAAGAGAGTCACTAAGCTCTTTGACCAAAGGTAAGTAGCCCAATATTTTGACCATTCGTCCCACAGAAAGTACGGTAGTCCGAGTGGGGCTTTGACGGTGTGATATGAATATCCTGTAGCAACTATCTCCTTTAAATTGTTTCGTTATTTTTTGTCATTCGGTAAGTTTACAGTACGATTAAGAGTATAATTTTGGCTTTAACAACTCAAATCTACGTTAAATCTTCACTGTAGGAGACATGGGCAAAGGGGCGTTTGAACGAGACTCAAAATTGGAGCTTACAAGAACAGCCACAAGAGTGCGTTGTCGTCAGTCTTTCGCCATTCGCCGAGGAGTGCACACCACCCTCCGTCTAGGTAATGGCCCAACCGAGTAAACTTTGTGCACTTTTGTGCAAATTGATGTTCCTTTACGATGAGCCTGAGCAAATCATTGATAATATTCGACTTTAATTCACCCTTCTCTTTAATGGCACCCTCTACGCATGTTGACATACTTTACTATATGAGATGAAATATAAACCATAGGCTTAAGTTAGGCCCTTCATGTATCCATATCGGGTCCATCCATTCTGCACAAAATCTTTGATCGCTTGCTTGGCATTGAAGGCCTTGCTGTCTTAGCCACAGCATATCATTATGGGTTCTATTGAAGCGATGGGGCAGTTTTAACAACTTAAAATTCACATTACTGCATTGACTTCCCAGAATTTGTTCTGAAGTGTCAGTGCGCCCCGTGCCCTTGCTAAGCGATATGCCGTGAAAAAGGTTCCAGTATCCTTGCTTCTGTTTTCCATGTATATGCGCCAGATAACAACTGACTGATATCTGAAACTTGAAACTTTCTTTTCGTAAACTCATTATTTCATATAGTTTTATATGTTTTGCAATTTGTTGTCAATGTCTACGATAACCTATACTGGTCGGTGTCTGCTGAACCTGTTGTTTGGATATCAGAATTCCATTTATTGTCGTGTTTTTCTTTGCCATTGAGAAAACATCTGCATTATCTGGCCCTTCACCATACTTTTTTCTGTAATTCTAATACAATACAGTCATTTAAGTATTCCAAGCTGTACACTTCATCACTTTAATTGTCTTCTAAATGCTCCCATCTGTTTGTTAAAAATAATTTATTTATCCTGTTCACTCAGGCTAATTGTATTACCAGTAAGTTACAAATTTTATGATCTTGTCTTTTTCTCTGTGCAGGTTTGATGATGTGGAGAGAAAAAATAATTATTAGGTAAAGGCGGCATTGCATTTTAGCCGCCAACTCTTCATCCGTCCACATAGGACAGAGCTGATATCAGAATGCGGGTGGTAGCATTAGTAAGTGGGGGTAAGGATAGCTGTTACAACATGGTACAGTGTGTAGCAGCAGGACATGATATTGTTGCTTTGGCCAATCTCAGCCCCTCCACTAAAGGTATATATATTGGTATTAATCATCAATCTGCTCTATAACAGGTACCCTACACCCTACACCTATCTGTTTTTATTTTGTTTCTATTTTATTTTATTTTCCAAATACAGATGAGCTGGATAGCTACATGTATCAGACAGTTGGGCATATGGGAGTTGCATTATATGCTGAAGCCATGGGCTTGCCACTGTTTAGGCAGCCTACTGAAGGTCGTGCAATTTTGCAGGATAAGGACTACTGTCCCACACCGGAAGATGAAGTAGAAGATCTCTATGATTTACTCACTAGGGTGAAGGTTTGTAGAGTGTCCTCCTTTGCTGTTCTCTTTGAGAGTTAGATTTTTTTAAACTTAAAAGCATTTTTACAGAATGAAGTCAATATTGAGGCAGTTGCTGTTGGTGCCATCTTGTCTGACTACCAGAGAATTAGAGTTGAAAATGTGTAAGTTGTAAATTAGTCTTTCTTGACTTGTATGTTATATCGCTTGTTCAACAGCCTTTCTTCTCCCCTCTTTTTAGTTGTGTTCGATTAGGTCTTGTGTCATTAGCTTACTTGTGGAGACGAGATCAAGGAGAACTCCTTCAAGAAATGATAGACTGTAATATTAATGCTATTATTATCAAAGTAGCAGCCATGGGACTAGAGCCCACAAAACACTTAGGTATGAAAATAGCAGATTTGAAGCCTCATCTTGTTAAAATGGTAAGCAGTGAGTAAGCTTAGTACATTATTGTGATTCACATTGCACAATTACTATATTATCAGTTTATTTCTTCTTCAGAAAGAAAAATATGGGCTAAATGTGTGTGGAGAAGGGGGCGAGTATGAAACTTTTACTCTAGACTGTCCCCTGTTTGTCAAGTCGATTGTCATGTAAGTGTCAACTACCACGACTTACTTTTTGATCTTAAGTCTGTTCTAAAATTTCTTTGACATCAGTCTATCTTTAAAATTTTTGTCTTCTAGTGATGAATTTGAAATGGTGCTTCCCTCAGACAACAGTGTCGCCGCTGTAGGATATTTAAACTTCAAACAGTTTCATTTGGAATGTAAAGATGTAAGTTTGTGTACAAAACTGTAAATTTTATTTTATTCTATCTTAAATCTACTTGATTGTTACCAAGTTTGTTGTAATATTTCAGCCAAGATTAGCAAAATGGACTCAACAAGAACGAATTGCTCCATTCCCAGTCAAGACATGGTCTGATTTACTACAAGACCTTCAGGACCCAGATAGAAGTGGTGGGGCTGGAGAGGAAGAGGATGAGGAACTGGAGAATCTCTCATCTGATGCTGCAGAAGTTGCTGCTATGTTGCTTCAATCTGAAGCTGGGAATCCATCTCAAGATGTAAGTGTGTTACTTTAGTCACAGAGGAGAAATGGTGGAACTGTTTAAAACAACTTTCTTATCTAATGAATAGGTGGTCAACAACAAAGCTTCAGGTGACACTGACACAAGCACAACTCCGGGACATTCAAGTGCTGTCACACCCACACTAGAGCATTCATTGCTTACTGATTTAACTGAAGTGATAGTTGCCACTGATAAAGCAGCTGCTCGTTGCAATGATGCTGGCTGGTATTGGCTTGGAAGCATTGTAGGACAGGGAGATGAAACACAAGGAGAAGCAACTGAGCAAGCCCTCTGCAAATTGAAAGGTAATTGCTATGATTGTATGCTGATCCCAATTTTATTAAAAATTATTACAGTACATCCAATTAATATCACCTGTTTTCAACAATTTTGTTGCAGACCTATTGTCTGGTGAGTCATTAACTTTGCACAATGTTGTGGCTGTGTCCCTATACATACGAGACATGGAAAATTATTCTGTGATTAATCAACAGTATAAAAAAGTGTTCAACTTTATCAATCCACCTATCAGGGTATGTGTTCAGGCACCTCTTGCTCATCAATGTCCACTTGTGATGGAAGCCATTGCTTTCAGGTACGTTTCATTAGAATGTCAGTAAATTACGTTTTTGACTCTTGCTGTTATATTTCTAAATGTAAGATTTCTTTCTTTTCCACAAAGGCCAAAGACTGTTGATGGTTGTCTAGATTCATCATCAGAGGAAATGCGTGTCAACAAAGTTCACACTATGCATGTTCAAGGGGTATCCCATTGGGCGCCAGCCAACATTGGACCGTACAGTCAAGCAGTTCGTGTGAGTCCTGTTTCCATGTACTTATTACTATTCATTTCTGGGAGTTATTTTCATTATCTATTATTGCATGGTTTGTTACAGGTTGGAGACTTGGTATATGTTGCTGGCCAGATAGCACTAGTACCTGGAACTATGGAGATGGTGGAGGGTGGTGTTAGGAAGCAATGCCGTCTAGCTCTCCGGCATGTTGGTCGTATTGTCCGGGCCATGGACCCTAATACACAGTTGAGAGATGTTGTTCAGGTGAGAATATAAGCGTTCTTTCTAACTTTGTCAGTTGGATCAAGAAATAATATGATTGCTTAGTATTTTCATACTTGTTCTTTACCGCCATCATACACTGTACCAGGAGGGAAAGTATTGTTCTTGCTGCGGCGGGCCGTATTGTACCTGTCTTTCATCTTAGAATACGTTATACCTACAGACATGTTTATTTGGCTATTATCCACCTTACAAACCAGTATTAAGTAAATTATAGAACTTTTTCCAGTTGTTTAAGTAAAATTTGGAGAACACTTACTTAAATTCTGCTTGCTTTTGTTTAACCCAACTTAAAAAAAACAGTAATCGAGAGTATGTAGAACTAAGTCATTAACTTTATTGCGAACTCAGATAAGTCTTCTTATAAATTTTACTAGTTTGTTTTTCTTGGTACAAGTGTTATTTTGAGACCACTTCACAAATTTTGCATCCCTATTCGTTTCTTGTATGCAGCAGATAGCTGTTAGTGCTAGCATCTGAGCTGTGATCATTGGTTATTATTTTGTTTCTACAGTTACTTTTGACTGTGGAAATCAAACTTCTCCTATTTCTGAGATGAAAGCAGTAACACTCATTGTCACTAATTTTAAATATGAGGGTGATAAAGAACAAGTATATTCTCCAGCACAAAATTACTATTTTGTTTATTCTATTTTGTTTTTTTATATTTTAAAGGGAGTGTGTTATGTTACACATCCATCTTATATTCCTGAGGCTAGAAGAGAGTGGGAGAAACGGACCAATAATGCTATTGTAGACTATGTTGTTGTACCTAAACTTCCAAGAGGTGCCCTACTAGAATGGCAAGTTTGGGCACATATTGGAAACAGTAGATTCGAATGTAAGTAGCGACCAATGCTTTTAAGCTTTGTTGTATCTTAAAATCCATGTAAACTTTTTTAATTTTGTATTTTCTATATGGCAGATGAAGAGACAGGTTGTTGTATTGGTGTTCATAGAGTATCATTGCGCAAGCGCTGGAATTATGAGAACACAGTTTCTGTTGTTGTTTGCTATGTGTCTACAGGTTAGTTATTATATATTTTCATCGCTGCTAAAACTACCAAACCTAATTCAAATTAAATAAATATTTCATAGTTGACCCTTAGCAACTACTCTGAGCCCCTCTAATTTTCTGAAGTGAAGGTGTTTTATCTAACCGTCTGTATTTTCTAGGATCATCCAATTCTGGACAAAATGTTTTGGCCAGCGCCAATGCTAGTGAGACTGAAGAACCTGAATCAGGACATGCATTATCTATTCCTGTAATAAGTGCTCCTGAACTTGGTGAGGTGTTCCGTTACACTTTGAGTAAATTACACAAAGGTGTTGACCCGAGTACAACTTGTGCAGTAAGAGTTCTTCACGTGTCTGGTAGTAAAGCTCCCCCACCAACAGAAGTTCGGAAAGCATTAGAGGAATTTCCAAATGTTGTCACAACTTTAGTGCCTGTGTGTCGCCTAACAGACTCCCGCACAGTTCTGTCCATTTGTGCGGTGCGACATCAGTAATGATTTAGTGTCCATTTTGCATAGCTATTTGAGTGGGTTTGATTGAAGGATCATCAGTGATTCTTGAAGTCATGACATTGTTGTTGTTTTATAGAAATTTACCTGTTTGCTTGTTTGAGGAAAGTCTCATTCAAATGTTGGGTATACATTATATGAATTTACCTTTATATTTGTTGAAGTGTTAATCCACAGTCAATCAAGTTTTACAAAGATTTTGCAGTTAATATTGATATCTTGTTTAGAAGTGCTTGTTCAAGTCATTGGTACTGCAAATGTGATACAATGGTACTTAAATAAGACTTACGAGCTCCTCTCAAATCACGTTTAAGATTGTGGTCAAGTTGATGCTAGTGTTGATTGGCAGTACATATGTTTATGCTTGAATTACAAATATTCAATTTGTTTCTCTAATGTGTGCAGTGAGCTTCCTTTTTTTTACTTGTTTGGCATCAGCGTTTTGATGTACCATACCATATTTGTTTTATAGGGTATTTATTTTATTTTTGTCTGAAAAATCAACTATTAAACCTTTGAATATCTGAGAATTATCATTTTTACTACTAATTAATTGCAGTCTGATTGCTTTGCCCCAATGATGTAAAAGTAATGAAGTTGCTTACTCAGTACACCATTTTCCTCCAATTACAATTTTATTGCAATAGGTCTCCAAAAGAAGAGACAGTATACACAATCAGATTATATTTTTGTTGCTGACTTGTGTTAAATATGATGTACCTGCCATGTGTAAGAAAATCATTTGTCAAGGTTTGTGTGCAGTGTACCCCCTTTGCAGACATGTACTGATTTTACTGCTCTTATCTTCATTTATTATATTTCTTCCTGTAACTAATGAAGGAGAGAGATGACTGCACCAGCTTTCTGTTTTAAGCTAGAACTTCAGTTAATTAAGCTATAACTTGCTCTCTTTTTGTCTAAACCTTAGCAATCTGTTCAGAGATGAACTCTCATTGACACTGAAATGATCAGGTAGTTGGTTTTATATCACAAATGCAGTCATTTTTCATAAATTTGTTTTCTTGTGTTAATGAGAGGAGTTGAACCAAACTGATAGGGTAGCCTGAGTCTTCTTCTGCTATTGCCAAGTTCCATCATTTTACTTTTTAAAGGTATCAGCAGCAGCCGTTGCGTTTTGTTAGTGAGGAGCAATTGTTCAGAAGTTATCTAAATCAGAATACAATTTTAATTTTGAATTGTAGATGATAGTACAATCCTTGGTTTGCTCATGTTTATTTCTAAGTGCTTTACCTATCACACTTTTAACTTCAGGTGTGTTGCTCTTTTTAAGACTCAAGGGCCTGTTCATAATCTTCCCCTTTTTTATCTTTCCTAATTTCATACATCTTAATTTAAGGTCAGAGACTGTCTTTTAAGCAGTGGCCATTCACTGCAAGTTTTGCTTTAACTCTATCAGTGTGAACTAACTGTTCTGATTTGACTCCTTTGTTAGTAGAATTTCAGAAAAGACTTATTATAGGCCTGACATTTTGCTACTGTTTTTATCCAAGATAGCCTCTGACTGTACCCCTCTGCCAACCACAAAATTATTACTGCTGACTTAATATTTGTGATGTTACATCTCTATGTCCATAGTGATTGCAATTTTCTTTGTAGTGTGGTCTTGTGTAATTGTGCATTCATTAGTAGATTTGAAAGGGTGTGGAAGTAAGATATATTCACATTTGTCTGGCATTCAAATTTTATCATACAGCTTTGATTTTTAAGTGTCTTATTTGTCCCATTCCGCTCCTATTTTTCCTTTTATAAAAGTAACTTACTCTTTAAAGGTAGGAGAATTTTACGCAAGATCAATTGAAACATTTGTTGCTTGGTCTGTTAAATGATGTATGCAGATTTTCTAAATAAGAACAATACAGTTTTATTTATTTACAACCTGTTTTTTTATTTCAACTAGGAGATCAAGAACCACAAATTACTTACACACAGTAAAGAGTGTTTTCCTAACTTGGAAAGTAATCATCTAGCAAGGTTCTTCATTAATAATAAAAATTCTTTAAGTCTATCAAATATTGTAACATTATTATTTTATGATTTTTGAACTACACACATTTGAAGCAGTACTCTTAAATGAACTACAATCATCAAGATGAAAATACATCTGTCATTGAGATGTTCTTCCAAAATTGTCCACATTTGAAGTCATAATTTCAACAGTTAATTGGTGACGTTCGCAGTCATCAAATATAAAAGTTTTAGTACCTGGTATACCATGCCTAGTCTCAGACATAAAATCTTGGGCGCTAGCTAAGCATTGTCCATGGGAGATGCCATTGACATCTAATTCGCAAGATTTCCAATCTGGGTAGGTTAAGAGAGACACAACCACCTTGGGTTCCTCATCTTCAGTTCTCATATTTATTTTATCATGTAAACTATCCATCAAAGCTTGTGTATCCAGTATTAAGGCACAGCTATCTCTATTTTCCACTGATTCCTCTAATTCACTTATGACTGGCAGAGCAGGAATAGTATCTCCAGCTTTTTCAAGGCAGTCTTCTTCCATAGTTTCTGAAATCAATTCAGATATTCCTTTTTCTGTTTCAGATACAGATGACTCGGCACAAATTTCTTCTGATGCAAGAGACACTTCAGGATTTTCGTTGACACTGACATCTAATTCGCAAGATTTGGTATCTGCGGTTGAAAGAGATACAACCACTATGGATTCCTCATCTCCAGTTCTCATGTTTATTTTATGGTGTACACAATTAGCTTCATCTATCTTAGCTTGTGTATTCTGTTTTAAGGTACAGCTGTCTCGATTTTCTACTGATTCCTCTAATTCACTAATGACTGGTAAAGCAGAAATAAAAGTCTCTACAGCTTTTTCAAAAATGTCTCCCCCATCTCTTTCTGATATTGATTCAGATATTCCTTTTTCTGTGTCAGATACAGATGACTCCACACAAATATCTTGTAACTCTACTTCAGAAGAATTTTCTTTGTCACACGTAAAATATTTCAGCTCCGACCTGTCATATGCACCAGCTTGAACTTGACTTCTCTGATCATGGCTTAGATCCTCAAAATGCTGATGGATAGATATTACAGCAACATTCTTCTTTTCAGAAACCACAATTTCACTTGTTTTACCATCTTTTGAGTCATTGAAATGGGAAGAAAGTTCTGAATTAACTTCAGCCCCCAAAGTACAATTTTTCTCTTCGGGGACAAAATTTTCGTTGTTTTTGAGAGATACATTGACTAACTCTTCAATTCCACATTTGACAGGAACACTTGTTTCAGTTTCAGATACTGTGTCAAACTTCTCTTCCGCACATGGTGAAATAATTTCAACATTATGTTCTACCGTATCATGTGAACGTGACTCTGAACAAGTTTCTTCAGATACCTCAGGTTCTACAGTACTTGATGATATTGACGGAGATTCTTCATGATTGGCATGAAAGCAGCTTTCTTGTGTTTCACTAGAATAATCAATGAGATTTTCATTTGCACTGCATGTTACAGGAACATTTTCTGTATTTATTGACACAGTAGAAACTGAACCTTCATAGGTCTCATTTTCAACAGGTCCAGTGTGCAGAGAATCTTCAGCATTAATTTCAACATCTACAGTACTTGAATCTGGGATACGAATTTCAGGACCAAGTAAGGCTAAACAGACATTCTGATCATCAGATTGGCTAACATTATCAGCAACACAGCTTGATTGATCATGAGTGTCAACATGGATATCATTAACATAATCTTGAGTAATTACCAATTCTCTCACTCTTTCTTCATTTATTGCTTCATTGAGGATAAAACCTGGACTACTAATTTCAATTGAATCATCGAGCGTAATGACAGGTATAGTCTCAGCTGAGGGGGTGATGTCAATTACAGAATCATCCTTTTCCTCTGCTGTTTTCTCCGTGTCAACAGAAATGATATCTAATGGAACATCAGGTCCACTGTCTTCAACTGTGTCATCAAGAGTGATGACAGGTATATTTCCTTCAGATTCAGATATCACCATGAGAGAATCATCCTCCCTCTGTGACAAATTCTGGCCTATAGTAGCAGATGTAGAATCAACAGGAATGTCAAATTTCAAAATATTGTCTTCGTTTTCAATAAATTCAAGATTATTCTGTCCACTATAGTGGGAACTGATGTCTGACCCCGCTGAAGTTGGGCCAGGTGACTGTTCAGTTCCAGGATTTCCCACAATTTGAAAGTTACTTTCTTCAGTACCAGGGTGACTGACGAATTCTGATTGATGTGGCTCGAGACTAGTAATCAAATGCCGCTCCTCAGGAACATTACTGCAACCAGAGGATAAGTATGATTAGAACAATGTAATTGTTTCAGTCATTTGACTATTAAAACTGGAAGGAGAAAACTAATTGTATACTGGTCCTCCCACCCTATTAATCTCACTGTCTGCTAAAAAATTTAATGAGCAAATTTAAGTTTGATTCTGGTTATGTCCAAAATAAATCAAGCCTGTTTATGGCTATTGCAATAAATTTCTCGGCACATGTCAAGAAATAGAACCAAGTCTCCTTCATCTTTTTATTGTTTAATAATTACAGGGTGCAATATGAAACACTAATTACATGCTTAAAAACTACAGACTAGAAGATTCATCAGCATTATAGTTCCATGAAATGTAGTTGTAAATAAATTTACCTAGAAAAGCTTTCTTGTGGCAATGAAGCTTTCATGTCATTCACAAAGGTGTCCAGGCCAGAGGCCTGAGTCCCAGATGTAGAGAGCAGTTTGCTGGCCACATTTTCCCCAGATTGCCACAAATCAACCGTAAAAGGCTCTTCTTTCCTCAAAATTTCTATTACAAAGTCCTCTTCATCAATCATATCATTGAATAAACTAATTGATGATTCAGACCATGACAATCCTTTTGGCCCTGGCAAAGAGCAGTGAAGTGCTAGAGGTGGTATCTCACGTAGGTTCTGCGGAAGGTCCTTGATGCGAGAAGTCTGTGATGTATTGCCATAGTCAATAAATCTGACTTTAACATCACCTGCCTCATTGTCCAGAATTTGGGCTCTGTACCACAAGTCATCTTCAGAGAACAAAGCAGCACATATCTTCCCCCGTCTAAAATCATTCAGGTCAGGGAATTCCTCAGCTCTCTCCAAGTCAACAGCAATTTTGTCAACTATTTCAGAATCTCTATTTAAGTGTGCATAGAAATCAGAAGGAGAATTGCTGTAAACGATCTTTCCCTCATACTTAGTTTCATTCAAAGATTGCCTGTCGTAATGCAGTTCTGTGCAAGATACCTCCAACTCATCAGATTGAGATTCTTCAAGAAAACTGCTTTGGGCAAGCACGTCTGCAACTGATACTCCAGTAGAACTCGTTACATTCACTGAATGTGTGCTACCATGAATAGACACAACAGTAATGGTGAACGGTCCACTTTCAAGGTGTTCAATGAAGGAGTCAAATGCACTGTCTGACCACCGCTTTCCTTTTGGAGCCTGTAGAGAACACTTAACTGCCAGACTTTCTACTTCTTCCATGGCCGGAGGTAAAACTCTCAAACAGTCCAAGTCAACCTTATCAGCATTACCATAATCAATGAAATAAACTGTATTGTCAGGCAAGATTTCACCTCTATACCATTCTTGATCCTCTTCGTACAAAGCCATGACCCGGCTTCCAGCATTGGGAAATGCTTCATACTTCTTCATGCAGAAGGACATAGCATTCAGATCTTTCTGCATCTGCTCAAGTTGATCCACTTGACTTGTCAAATGAACATAAAATTCACACATGGATTTAGCAAAGCTGAGCTGAACACTGACAGTCTGATCAAGACCTAGAGAAGCTTTGGGTTTGCTCATCAAAGCTGGGAATGGATTATTTACCATAGAAAGAGCTCTTCCAGTAAGTACAAGTTTCAAACTAAACACTTCTTTCCCATCAAGCAATTCAACCAGCCACTGAGTTCCTCTCTTCACAAAATAGGCAATGAATGACTTGTCTTCTGTCATTTCCAATATAGTTTGGCCCAGTGTCAAATCTTCAGTTGTAACAGGCAGTTCTGCTTGGATGGCAAGGGCAGGAATGTTGAAGAAGCCATGAAGAACTTTCAAGTTGTTAATGGGAATATCTTCAGAATTTCCATAATCTACGTATTGAACTTTAACATGGTCAGGTGCAGCATTGGTCTCTACAATAACAGCTCGATACCAATTACCATCCTCAGACTTGGCAGCGCACACTGCACCACAAGTTAAGGTTTGAAGACTATCACCTACTTCCTCACAAGATTCATACAAATTTTCAAGAAGTTCTGATATACATTCAACGTCCTTCTTCTGTTGCAACCACACAGTGTTACCAGATGCATGGACAACATCTACCACAATTTTTTGTTTAAGGATAGCCATGGGGAGAATTGTAGTAAGACTGGGCAGTTCTCTAGCCGGAGCAAAGGAGAAGGGACGACCACACTCATCCAAAACCTGACCAGTAAACCTAAAATTGAAAAATAAAATTAATATATTCAGTTGAAGCTATTAGATAAAAAAAGTTATTACAGGACAAATGCATACCTTTTATTCTCATACTTCTCCACAAACAAAGTGACTTTCTGTCCTGAGAATGGTTGTAAATCGCTTATGTACTTGGTATTCCTAATAACACACTCATGTCCAAGGGCAGGGGTGCCTTGAATTTTCTCAGGTAAGGTAAATACCTGCAAAAAATGGAAGGAATAAGAATTATACACAACCATGATGAAACCGAGGGTACTTGATATGCAAAGAACATACATTGCTGGATGAAATTTCATCAGTGCCACCATAATCCAAAAATGTAACTGCTACCCCAGCAGTAGATTTGCTATCTGTGATGACAGCCCTCTTGTACACTGAGGAGTTATCCATTACAAGGCAGCGTGTTCCTGGTGAGACTTGATGAGAAGGGAGCTTGACAAGTCCCTGAAGTAAAGAAATTACCATTAGCCTCAGGGCTTAATGCAAGCACACATTCACCAAAACAAAAGAAATCTTACTTCTTTAATGCAATTTGCCACATCATCCTTCATCTCTGCCAAAGCTTTCGGTTCAAATGAAACAAGTATAGAATTCTGATCGACAGAGAGAAGAATGGCTTGCACAATTTGTCCAATCAACATTTGAGCGTCCACACCAGGGACTTCAGGAGGTGCCAGAGGAAGAGTATCCTCAGTCACCACATCCACTGGAGGTACTTCAGTCATAGCGACAGCTGGTCCCACAGCCAGACCCATTTGCTGCAGCTGGCCTGCCATGTCTTGGTCTTTATCTTTCAACAATTGAACAGTGCTCACTTCAGCAGCCTTCAAAACAAAGCAAGTAAACTGTCCCTGGAACAACTTCTTTAATTCAGGATCTTTCGCCCATTGTCCATTCAAGGGCAACACGTCACTGAGTTCGCACAAAATAGCCTGTGCAGGCAAGCAGGCAAATTGGCTTTGTAAACCATACACATGAGAAGGATCAACCAATGACTTATTTCCATAGTCAACATATTGAATGCCTGTAAAGATAATAATTTGTCAAAATCAACGTGTCATAAAAATGCAAAACCAAAAACTTATTTTTGGAGTTCGTACTCACCAAACTTCCCTCCTTTTTCAATTTTGACTTCACCCCTGTACAAGATTCCATCACTATATAAAGCCACAACAGCCTGCCCAATAGCTGGCTTTAAAACCGGTTGTTGGTTTTTGTATACAGACTGCATCTTCTTCATCATAGTGTTGAATTCTTGAGATCGTTTCTGAACATAAAATCTGGCTGGTGTTTCAAACCAGCTTATCTGAAACAAAGATTTAACATGTAGTAAGGGTTTTCCTATTATGACAATACTTGAATAAACTATAATACATACTTCCACAGTGTGTTCAATTCCCACAGCTAGAGCAGGTGGTTTCGGGATCGATTTAACAATGGATGTCTCAGGGGTTGCACTAATAGATTCATTGGATTGATGGAGGGAGGGATCCTAAAAATGTAAACAAACATATTTAAGAAATCAACAACAGAAAAAGTAAGAAAATACAAGAAAATCTATAAAACTAACCCTGCGCATGTTGGTGTTACTATCATAGGAATTTCGTGAGCTACGATTTTCTTCATTACGAGAATCATTGACACGATCACAATGCCCATAATGGCTTTTGCTCCCTTTGTTAAGACCCCAAGCTTCTGGGTCTGACTTATAAAATGGTTGAGTCTCTCTGAAGTTCGGTTTGGATCCATTCCCTGAGTGCACATTCTTCTCTTGGTATTCTCTACTGCTGTGGTTGTTGCTTTGACCATTTACAGGCTGTCTCCTTTCCTCCTGTCGATCTCTGTCAGTATTTTGAATTGGTCCATTAACTTGCTTTAGATGTTCACTTGCAGAGTCTTGAATTGATCCATTGGCTATGGGAGCCACATTGGGTTTTAACAAATCAGAGATATCTGCTCCATCATCATTAATAAGCCTTACAACAACGCAAGGAACACTCTTGTCGAGCTCAACAACATTCATAGTATACGTGTTCTCCAAGGCCAGATCTTCAAACCTAGAATAAAAAAGTAGAGTAAAGAAAATAAAAATAAAATTAGTACAAGGATATTTTAGTCAAGTAGGATGTCACTAGGTCACGAAACATACTTAGTTGTCAGGGCTTCATCACACGGCAGCTTAAACCCATGGAGCCGGCATGGTATGGCTTGGGTAACCAAGGCGTTAACAAGCTCATCAGAGGCAGGTTTTAAATGGTCCAGATCAATTTCCTCCTCATTACCATAGTCCACAAAAAGAACCTAAGGGTGAAGGATTGAAATCAGCACCAAGAACAGAATTCAAATAATGTAGACAGAAAAGGAAAAATACTCACTTTCAGAGGATCAGTTGCCATCACCATGGCTCTGTACCATGTGTCATCTCCTGTGTAGAGTGCACAGCATGCTGTACCTGGTTGGGCCTCATAGTCTAATCTGGCAGAACCCTTGCAATGCTCAGCAACCCACGACATGACATTTTCCAACTCTTTGGAGCGTGAAGAGAGCTGAACATAGAAGCACTCCACAGACTTGATGTACGAAACAACAACCTTAAGCTTGGACCCAGGCTCAGGGAAAGCGGCATTTTTGAAGTTGGTTATCTTGTGGGATTTCTTCTTCAAAATCTGAAAATTAATATAAGAATGAAAATCAAAATGTAAATGGAGTCTGAATAATTCTCTAGATTAAAGCATACCTCTAAATTTATAAGCTCCTTCACGTTTGTATCATCAATGAATAATTCGCCAAGTTGTTTGGCCATCAGTGAATCGCATTTAGGTGGAATCACCTTCAGCACACACTCCTCCTCCAAAACTTTGTCATAGAATGCAGAAAGCATTTCATCAGTGGCATTTGAGTTATATAATCCAGATAAAACAAATGGTATAGCCATAGCCTGAAAAAGTAGAGAGAAAGTAGTAAAAAACATGATTAATTATATTGAAAGGACATTGCTGAAGATACCACTTACTTTTAAATGAGTGAATTCCGGAGGAATTTCAAACAGGTCATGGCATTTGACAGAATCACAATTGCCATAGTCTATAAAATAAACATTACAAGAGTCATCTCCAATTGAAGTGATGATTGATCTGTATATTGTGTCATCTTCACTGTACTTTGCCAAACACATGGTGCCAGGAATATAGGGTTGCTGCAAATTGCCTAGCACCACAGAAGGGTTGTTCAATGCTGTTACCAATTTTTCAAGTTCATCACTTTTAACAGCGAGCTGGACATAAAATGTAAATGTCCCCTTATCAACATGCGAGACAAACACCTTGTGCTCACTGTCATTCTGCAATTGAATTGTGCAAAATCTTGAGGCAGGTTCCTTGGCAGCCTTCTTCGTCAAATCAACAGGCAAACGGGTAGCTGGGCATACACCAGCTTGCCCTGTCAGGGCTACGGCAGGAGCAGGAGCACTGGGCACAACTGACGCAAACTTGTTGGACGTTGATAAGCAAGGTCCAGGTGGTACGACAACCGGGGCAGCAACCACATTTGATTGCAGGTTTGGGGGAAACATTTGAGGCCACTGTTGGTTAACAGTATTCAGGTGGGGGTAATTAAAAGCCTGCAGAGGTGAAGATGCAGTCACAAAATGGCTCCATATCATAACCTCAAAACGATCCTGAGGAATGGGACATGCGACTTGCATTTCATGCAACTTCTCAACAAAATCAGAATTGTTGAGAAAGATCTTCAACAATTGTATCTCGCTGTGTTGCCCGAAGCTCTTCACGACTAAACCTTTCACTACTTCATACAGAATCTGGTCAGAGAATCGGTTGAGGAGTTCTGAGGTCCAGTTCCCAATTACATCTGACAATATGTAGCTGCAGGCTTGGGCAGGAAATCGATAGAGTTGGTGCCGGTTGTTCAAAACCCTCAAGGATGAGAAAGGGACAGTGTGGCGATCCCCGTAGTCCAAATAATGGCACGTCACCAAGCCGGACGAAAGGTGAACGTCCAGCAGCTTAGCTCTGTAGTAGGAGCCGTCTTTGTAGCGGCACACACATAGTAAATCGGGCTTGAGAATAGCGGGATCTGGCATGTGCATGCCTTTCTCGAACTCTTCCATGTGGTGCAGCAAGAGGCGTTCAATGCCTTCCACAGACTGCCTATCTCTCTGGCCCCATACTTTCAGAAAGCAACCCTCCTTCTCCAAATGGCTCACATACAGGTCCAATAAACCCATGTTAGGGTACAGGGTGATATCACAGATGATGAAGTACGCTGCTCTTCAGTCTTCACACTCGTCACCAGATAAAAACGCACAATATTCACAAGATAAAACTTCACAAACTACATCGCACTACGACTAGACTGAGAGTGAGGTATTTGACACAGCAACATGGGCTCGGATGCTCTCTTCGAAAACGAAATGGAAAACAAAAGAGGAGCGCAGTGTACCAACTGTTGATTGAGAAGTATGAAAAGTGAATATCGAAATAGGCAACCTACTTCTGCTTCATTCATATTTTTTAAAAGTAGATATTGATAGTGATAGACAAAGAAAATTACAAAGTTCGGAAAGACGTACTTTTATCTTTCTGCAAGACTACAATGTTTTGATGTGTGAGGGTGGTAGTGCCGATACCCCCACTTCTGACACAGGGAATGCCAAACACCTTTCACAAGGACCGTCACCAAACGCCCTTCAGCCTAAATTATGCAAACTTTGTCACCTAAAACCGCCATCCCCGCCGCAGTACTGAAATTTGCCTGTTTGGGAAATGTTTTCACTGACCCCACCCCTCCCACACCTTGGTGTTCTGGTTTCCCCCATCCAGAGACGATGATGTAATATGTTAAAATTTACAGTCGTCGAAATGAAATTGTGTTTAGAGAGGCCATCCCGCACTTTCTCACACTTCTTTCATGAACATTTCGTCGATTTCAGCTTGGGAAGCGCCTCATCTCGGCCCCCATCCCAGCCCACCTGGCCTACGCGACGGCACCCCTCCGCCGCTCCACCAAACTCCTACGGCTCATGTCAGAGGACGTCCCGGGCCGAAACAAAACCCTTCCTGAACATGCAAGTTTGAAAATGAACAGGGGGCTCGAGGTGCCGGCCGGCGAGTAGGGCTCCGGAGCGGGGGGGGGGGAGGCTCAGCCACCCCTTGGGGGTGGAGGGTAGAACGGCGCGGCGGCGGCGGCGGCGGCGGCACGCACGTCAATACCCCGCCCACAACCACCCACCCAACCACCCACCCTCGGGCCGAGTGAGAGTGAGAGCCGAGCCGAGGGTGTGTTCGGCCTTTAGTCCAGTTCGTGAACGCGGCGAGCGCGCCACGTCTTTCGCGACCTCCATCCGCGTCGTCTCGTCCGAGTGTTGACGGCCCCGCGGCGCTCCCCTCGGCGCCACCCCGGAGAGTGCCCTGCCCGCACCCGCGGCCCTCCCCACCTGGCACCGGAGGCACGCCGGAGGCCCCGGGTATGCGACGTCCGCCCGCGAGTAGTGCCCGTCGGTGAACGCACCCGCCCACTGGACTAAACTAGGAGTACACTCTCGCCGTCGTGGGACCGCCCGGAGGACACCGGCAGCAGGTGGGTAGGTGGGTCAGCACCACACACGGGTAGCACGTGCGCTGTTGCTGTTTCTGTGGGCCGCGTTGGCCTTCTCCATAAGGTGAACCGCCGTCGTGCTGGGCTGCTGGAGCAGCGCGCCCTCCGCGCCGGCTCGAAAAGATAACAGGGCTCAGAGACTGCTGTGCGCGACCACGGTAGCGGCGGGCATGGGGTGCGTGGAGTGCCTGCCGAGTGCTGGCGGGCACCTGTCACCGGCCACGGGCTGCTAGCCACGCCCCCGTGCAGGAATGCGTGATGCACTGCGTCTCGTTGTGCTCCAGTTTTCGAATGGCAATGTGTTACTATTTTCACACCCCTCGATGTTATGTTGTAAGGTTAAATTAACAACCCCTCGCCCAAAAAAATTTAGGAGGGGGGGGGGCGACTTATTTAATTTGACCTACCGTGATCAGAAAACGCCACATTTCCGCGTGATTGAAATGTCACATAAAACACTCCATCGGCAAGCAGGGAGAAGGGGTGGGGTTTGGGGACGAACCCCTATAGATGCTGCTGCTGCTGCTGCTGCTCCGGCTCCGCGCAATTGAAACCCCCTCCCCCTTCACGGCGCGGCACCGATGAGCAATGTGATATTACTTGAGGCGTATAGGGCCGGGTCGCGGGATACCCTGCCGCACCGCACCCCGCCTCTCCCCCTTTGCCCTCTCCCCTCCCCTTACTTTCTTAATGTCAGCGGCATTTTGCTCGGCATGCAAAGCGGAGGCGACGTTCAGCTAATGGAGGACGCCCCGTGGAATAATGAGAACAAGGAGCAAAGGGGCGGCCGGGGGAATCACGGACGGAGGGGGAGTGTAAGGAATAAGGGCGGCGACGACGGATGGCGAGAGCGTCGCGTCGCTTTGCAAAGAGCATACTTGTACAAGGCTCGCGGAGCTCCTCGGGTAGTGCGCCCCGCAAAACGAATGAATGGACGAGAGTGCGAGGTGCGAGTGCCTGCGCCGGCGTGTGCTCTGTTCCTCGTCACCGACGCCCCTTTGCGGCGGCAGCGGCGGCGGCGGGGCGGGCCCCAAAGGGGGTGAGAGTTCATAGCGAGTCGGCGAGAGGCCTCACGTCAGCACCTGCAGTAGTAACAACCACACTTATGCGGCCGAACTGAATCAACACGCCTTTGAGGAAACTACAGAACCGCGTCTTTTTAATTTCTACACGCGTGCACCTGCTCCCGCTAAGCTTCCGCCTCCCCCTCCCCCTCCCCGAGCTTTATCCCCGCCGCCTCCCCCGGGGCCACGGGGTCGTCCCACTAGGTCGGGTCTGGTGTCGACGACGCGCGACGCGCAGTTGCAGATGTCCTCCTCATTGAGCAGTACATCTCTCTCACAACCCCCCCAAATCGCGACGCCATGTGGCACCGGCAATCGCGCTGCACATATCGGCGGTGCGGGGTGCGGGGTGGCGGCCTCCCTCCCCTCCCCCTTCGACTGCACGAGCGCGCACCCTCGCAGGCGCTCGCGATCCTCCCCCTCCCCCTCCCCATCCCACCCCTCCCGACCCTTCTTCGCGTCCGTGGCGTGGCGGCACGCGGCGGCGGAGGACCGCGCGTCAGCCGCGTCGCGTCGCGCGCTCCGTCCCGCGGCCCGCGGCCCCGGCAGCAGTCGGCGGTTGGACGCGCCGGCCGGCGGGTACGCTGTATGCTACGCGCACGGGTACGTCGCGTTCACGGGCAGAGCCGCGGCCGCGCACCGCGCTCGAGAAAGGTGCAGCAGCAGCAGCTGGCAGCTCCACCCCGCCACCGCCACCTCCGCCGGCATCCCCGTGCACGAGAAGCGCGCCGTGGCCGTGGTGGGAGAAGGGGGTGTTTCGCAAGCCCCGCGGCTCCTCCCCCTTACTCCCCCTCCCCCGCCGCCGCTCCGGGCCTCGCGGCATAGAGCGCTGCGCCCGCTCCCCCTCGGCTCCGCCGCTCGCCGGCGTGGCGGGGCGTAGCGGCCGGCCGGCCGGCTGCCTCGCCTCTTCCCTCTCAGTTTTGGCCGCGCGGCCGCGCCGTGTACACGCTCTTGTCTCTCTCTCCCTGTCTGCGCGCGCGGGTCGGTAGTTTCTGTGCTCTCGGTGACGTGACGCGTGTTTTTGTCACTGACACGGTTGTTATTGTTGTTGCCACCGCCTGTGGATACGCGCAGCTCGCCGGGGCGATGTCACCCCCCTCGCGGAGGGGCCCAACTCCTCTGCCCAGTGGATAACCGACAGGCAGGTGAGGGTCGAGTGCGAGAGGGCGGGGATGACCACATCTGACTCCGCTCAGCGCCTCCCAGTGTCCCCCTTTGTTAACGCCCCTGCTTCAGACGAAGACTTGCGCCACCCCCGCCCCCTCCATACACGCCGCAGCCCTCCTCTTCTGCATGTCAATGACACATCCTCTGGTGACGGGAGATTACGCTGATACAGCTTTTTTAGAACTCGCTGTCATGGGAGGCTCAAACACTCTCTCACACACAAAGACACACACGTGTCAGTATCACTTGACAGCAGTTGTCTCACGTTTGCCATCATCGACTAGCCAACAACAACGCCTGCGTATCATTGGTATCATGCCGTTGTCCGCGTTACCGGGCCAGTGTAGTGGTTGCGTCTTATTATTTATATGAAGTAGCGGGTTAAATGAATGTGTATCTCAAAATGAACAAGTGACACTGAGCGAGCTTGCAATGGAAAGTTCCGTCGCTGCGCCCTTCTATTTTGCTGATGAGGTGGCATCAATAAACGGTCAGGAGGGGGGAGGGGGTGCAACTACCCCTTGTGGAATCTCCCGTCAGCAACATGTGGACTGGTGGACCAATGAGACTGAGGATACATTTGGATTTTTCTTCAAAGGGGTCTTGGTGGAAAGCGGTCCATGACATCGGGAGTAGAACGGTTTGCGTGTTTCGCGCCTCGCTCGTGGACTTGAAATGATCGACTCGAATTAGCAAGTCTGGGAGCGCAACAGTCGGCACCTCGCGGCGCCCCGAGCCGACCGACACGGAGCCTCCAAGCCAAGGGCGGGTGGAGACGGGGAGGGCGCCAGCCCCACCAGGGCCCCACCCACCCCTCCTCTCCTCCCCTCCCATCCGCCGCGCGGAGTAACTCACCCCCGCGCGCCCCGATGGCAAAGGAATTGGGCGAGCCGTGGGGCGCGGGCGGGGCTTTGTGTGAATCACGCACTGGATGATACACCCGACTTATTTCTGGATTTATCATTTGGATTTGTCTGCTCGTTGAGCGGGAAGGATTTTCGCGAGGGCTTTCCGCGCGAGTCCGTGCTCCGCAGTTCTGACGAAGGCTCTCCGCCCCGCAGTGAGCGAGCGAGGGGAGGGGTTTTTTGAGTTTGGTGTGAGTGCCGTGTGGCGGCGCAATAAAAAAGCAAATATAACAATGTTGGGGTCTGCGAAGGGGGATGATGGGAAAGTCAGTCAAGTCACACACAACCTGCTGCTGCGGCCGCTCGGCGCGACTCACCCCCTCAACCCCGCAACGGCCGGGGAGCAGCGCGAGGTCGTTCACCTGGCAGCGCGGATCACACGGCAACAGCACCACCACCCCTGGCCGGGGCCGCGTCCGAACTCGCCGCACGTGTGTAATTTATCTGCTCTTCGCGGACGCAGCCCCGCCCCGCCGCGCGTGTGAAGCACTGCCCGGCTCTTTGCTGTCCGTGTTGCGCGCTTTTGTGGGACGGATGGATGGCTACGCGACGGTTTCGAGATGAAACGGTGAAAAGAAGACGACGACGGCCTGCCGGTGGTGGTGGTGCGGGTTTCTGTCGCGTCTCGTCCTGGTCGAGCGCATGCATGCCGTCCCGTCCGGTGGAGAGGGTTGGGTTTGTGGTCGAGTCGTCATCTATGGACGGCTTTTAATCAACTTGATCTGGGTCGGTCACACGCATGCGAGCTCGTGGGGGCCGCAGAGGTTGGAGAGTTCGTTATCACCCGGACGGATTCCTCTTCCCTCAGCGCCGTCGTCAGTTAGTTTTAAGCAAGTTTTTCGGGGGGGGGGGGGATTTTACGGTGCCACCGGGTAGGACTGAGAAGGGCTCGGAGGGGAGGGTGAGAATCAAGTCAATCCCGCCGCGCGCCCTTCGTGTCGGGTGCTGGAGAATCTGGCCACGACTCCCCTTGGTTGGGCCCGCCCTTGACTACGTTCATCAAAGCCCGCACACCCCTGCCCTTCCCTCCCCGGCCGCTGCCAACCCCAAAGGAGAGCTTCCTTATCTCATTTGTGAACGAGCGGGGGTCGTATTGAAGGCGCCTCTCCATCCGACCCGTCGTGGGGCCATCCTCAGACCGATCATCAGTCGGCTTCCCATCATCATCACCCGTTCTGTCTGAGTGACGGCCAATGTTATGTGTGCCGGTGTGTAGAGCGGAGGAGGGTTGGTTGTTGGTTGCGCTGGTTGCGCTACAGACGCAGCGCCGCCCTGCCACAGTGATTCACTCCACGAGCGTCATCATCTCCTCTAAGCTGCCGCTGCAGGTTGCCGCGCCGTGGCCGTGCCCCGCGCCGATAACAAAGCGAGCGGAAGATAAAACTATACCTTGTCTTTTCGGGCGTTTCGTCAGTCGGCCCTAGAGTCCTATATAGGACTCTAGTCGGCCCGGGCGTGGCCGCGGGGCGGGGGGCGAGGCGGGGTGTTGGTGTTGGGGGCCTACTACGTCTCTTTCAGAGTCCGGAGAAGGAGAGGGGGTAAGGCGGGCCGCGGCCGGGTAGGGGCCCTCCCTCCGCCCTTCCCCCCGGCAGCCCAACAGGGGTGCGTGGCCCTCCAGGGGGTTGCGCCCGCCCCGCCCACGTGGCGGCACGGGGGCGGTGCGGGGGCGGCGGCGCGGGGAGGCAGTGGCTGCGAATGACCCCTCGCTCCCTCCGTGCGTCTTTGTCGCTCCGCCCGCTGAACCTGCTCTCTTTCTCTCTCTCTTGCTGGCCGCCTTGAAGTGAGTGCGAGAGAGAGAGAGAGAGAGAGAGAGAGAGAGAGAGAGAGAGAGAGAGACGCATGCGAAAAGGCGCGCCCCGGAGCCCTGACGGCCGGAAGGGAAGGGGAGGCCGCTCGCTGTGCGTGGCAGTGAGGGAGCCCTGCCTACCGCCCCTCCACCACCCCGCCCCGCCCCGGGATGTTGGAGGGTGCTGGGATATTGAAAGGCGGGGGCGACCCTCTGCTGGGTGGAGGGAGAGGACGGCGGCCGGAGCTGGGGAGGAGAGCGAGAGCTTGGCAAGTCCGACGACTCCCAGTAGCGGCTTTCCGCAGTTTCTTTTTCTTCCCTCCATTTTATCTTTCTTCTTTTTTTTTGGGCGTGCCTTATCCGCCTGCTTCGAAAAACGTTGAAACAAGTCTGGAAATAATGGTCGTCTCCCCTCGGCCGGGATCTTCACCCCCGTTTCATACATTATCTGGGCGGCGGCGGCAACATTCAGGGGCGCGAGGCTCGGCGGGGCTCGGCTCGGGACGATCTTGCAGACAAATGCCCTCATCATGCGACCCCGGTGCACGGGCAGTGCGCTTCGGGTGCAGCGGGGTGCACACGCGCTTGAGGATTTGTGTCACGGAGGAAATTGGACTTTTTTTGTGTTGTCTTTTCTGCACAGCGCCCTTATTGCTTTCATCGAGTGGAGAACGTCTCTGCCGGGGGCGTGCATTCGTGCAATCGTTGTCTTTGCCGGACGCTTACAACGATGAGACGAACGAACGGCCCAAAAACAGAGACGGCGGCGTGGTTCGCACGCTTCTCGCGGAAGTTTTAAAGGTCCCCGCTGACGTAACTGATAAGCTCTGCGGCGGCGGTGGGGCGCGACGGCTGGCCCGTGTCGCCCGTGTCCTCTTGGAGCTATGATGACGACGACACCGACGACGCCGTCGGGCTGGCGTCCTGCACCCGCCCGCACCCACCCTCCCCTGCTGCGGTCCGGAAGGGACGGCACGACGGCGTGCTCGCCGCGCCCTGCTCCCCGTTATCGTAGGCGCGTGTCCGCGCCGCCCGCGTCCAAGGCCCCTGGCTGGCTGCTATCGGCGCCGCCCCAGGCGCCGCCGTGCACGCCCTGCTGCTGCTGCAGCGCGCTTCCCTCCCCGGCGTCCCTATGCAGCCCGCGCGGCTGCCGGCGCTGCAAGTGGTAGTATAGTGTGCCTTCCGGGGCGGCCGCAACGACGCGCGCACAAAGGAATTGTGGCTTCTGAACGCTTTATTAACATTGTTTGGTCGGGTCGGTGGCGGCGGGAGGTGTACCGCCGGGGCGGGCACACCGGTAGTGCTCGCGTAATTGGCTCTGCTCCGCGGTCGACGGCTTTTACCCCCCCCCCCCTCTTCCCTTCCCCATCTCCCCCGGGATGAGCCCTGCTCCTTCTACTGCGGGAGAGTGCTGCTCTGCTATCCGGAGCGCCGCTACGACGCCTCGCCTCGCCACGGCCGTGACGTTTCCTGCCGCCCAATAAGAGTCTCTCTCTCGGGCCTTTCTTCCGATTGTGTTGGCCGCGAGAGCGGTGGTTTTTGTCGGCGGAGGAAGGTGGCGCTGCTGCTGGCGCTTACGGTGCTGCTGGCGGCACTTAGCGCTGGCTGCGGGGGCGGGGCCGTGCTGTGTTTATCGACGGGAGTGCTGATGAACTAGACCAACGCAAGAGTGTTTATTGAGCACAAGCCAGGGAAACCGAGCCGAGCCGAAGGTCGTGCGAAGCGTCCGTGGCGGCCGCGGGCAAATAAACTGTCCGAACCGTGTGCCCCCAACTCACTCTCCTGACGTCACCCTCGTGCCGTCGTCGTCCCGGGAACCAGGCTTAACATATTTCGGAAATGAAACGTTTTCCTACCCTCCGCCGGGCGGTCATGTCATGTACGCCCGAGTCCCTCTCTCGCTCCCTCCCTCTCCCTCTCTCGCTCCCTCCCTCTCCCTCTCCCTCTCCCTCTCTCGCTCCCTCTCCCTCTCCCTCTCTCGCTCCCTCTCTCTCTCCCGCTCCCTCTCTCGTTCTCTCCATCTGTCTTTAGTATCCGTCTCCCTCTCGCACTTCGAACCCTTATCGCCGGTTAGATTCGTGTGTACGACACGCACCTGTGTGGCTTGTGCTGTAATAGCCCCCCCCCCCTCCCCTCCCTATGTGCGTGCGGGGGAGGGAGAGACGGGGGCATGAAATGAAATGTGTTTGAAACGTTGTCGTCGAGCTGGGGAGGCAGCAGTAGACGGGGAGTCATCGACTTCGACACGTAAAAAGTGCTCTTGGAAACACGCGTTTTTCTGACGGGGTGGACTGTAGCTTGCAATGAAGGCAGACTACCTTGGAGGGGGCGGAGGGGGGGGGGGCAGTTAAATGCAGGGCGGTCACCAATCCAGCCGAGACAAACCGATTGTGATCGTGGTCTGGACTTGGGGACTTGAGAACACGACACATTTTGCTGTTTTGTTTTTCCGAGTCGCAAGACCAAGGCCGAACGAATAATTCTCCCTTTTTTATTACCGATATTAATTGAATATATTCAATGTACATACATGAGACGTCATCTCACTGCGTCAAATTCACGAGGAAAAATTTGTTAAATGGATCGCATCAACAAACATGCGTGCGGCTTGACCACTATGTGGTCACGCTTCCATTTGTTGAATGATAGGCATCGGAAATGTCCCGTCTCGCACTTAATGTGGGAAGAGGGGTGAAAATTGAGCTAAAACGACGATGTATGTCAAGATGGAGGCGATGACCTATAACAAGAGTAATTAATCCTTCTTATGTCGAGTAACGAAGCAGTCAAAACCTTCAGACGACCCGGAAATATACTTACCTTCTTGAATGTACTCAAATCGTAATAACAGGGATCGACAGCTACAAATTTAATCTCCTGCATTTGTGTCTGATGTATAAACCGTATGATCTGTAATCAAGAGAAAATTCGGAAAATTGTAACTTTGATGGATGTTCCTGTTCTGCCTTTGCCAGAGTTTTTATTGTCTGCGTGAATTGATCTTTTAAAAGAAAATAGACATACCTCTGCTTTCATTTGAAGATTATGGTCTGGGTGATGAGCGATTGCTGTCTGCAAAGCTGTACGAATCCTAGAACTCTAGAAATGAATCGACTAGAGCTGCAGACCTGAAATAACCACCCCGGCTCTGTTCTTTCTCCACCCAAACTCACCTCCGCATGCATTTCTTCTCCAATGACGCAGATGAATAAGATCTTGGTGGTGAGGGCTATGCCCAAGGTCAGATTCCAGATTTCTTCTTGAAAATCTAAACAGGAATCAAGGGCAATTCCCCAGTATATTTCTTTTAAGGACCTCATAACCTGTGCATACCTACCAATGTTTCCTGCCATGCCTGCGTACAGACACACCACACTCTCGATCATCGTGATGGTGTTGGATAACACGTTGTACGGTCCGTACAGGCAGTTTGTCAGGTGGACCGCGTCCTGCACGCACTGGTAGCGCATCCTCAGCGTGCGCAAACCCTGGACCGGGGAGTCATCCTGCTGACCGCTGAGATCACAAGTTTAAAATAGAAAGTTTCCCTCGTTCGTTTCTGGTACGATCGCAGTTATCGTGGACATATTGTGTAAACACTGTCAACGCCGTGGTCGCCTAGCTTGCCAAAATGTTGGCAGTCCTTTTTGATTTCCAAATTTTGGTCGTCTTTTGGGGGCTGCCAATTTTTGGCCTCTTTGCTTGCCAAATTTTGGTCGTCTTTTTGGAAGCTGCCAATTTTCGGCCTTCTTGCCAAATTCTTAACCGTCTTTTTGGAGGCTGCCAATTTTTGGCCTCTTTGCTTGCCAAAAGTTGGCATTCTTCTTTCAAAAGAAGGCAAAAATTTGTCAATCAAAAAGGACTGCCAACATTTTGGCAAGCTCAAGCTAGGCGACGCCACGGCGTTGAACTATGCCAACTATGCCCATTACCAGGCGGCCGGGGCAGGGTTCCTCGGGGTGGCGGTGCGCGCGTACGCGTGTGGCAGTGCGTTCATGTGCTCCTGCACGCCGTCCGCGATGCTCGTCATAAAGTCGACGCTGGCGCACACCACGTGGATGAAGGAGTCCTGGGAGATGCTCAGGGCCAGCACCGGTATCAGGTCGGCAATGAAGAATACAGCGCCATTCCAGGACCCGCCACAGATCTGTGTAGGGCACGAGGGCAGAAGTCAAACACGGTATGGGCCTTACCTCGCGAAGCGTGATAGCCAGGTAGAGGCCACAAAGGTCTCAAACGTACCATAAACTTGACGCTGACAAACGTGTACACCATGGAGAACGCCCCGAAGAGAAGGATGACGACACTTCTGGCTGCGCACTTGCGCCTCGAGTCCGGAAAGGAGTACGATTGAAGGAGCAGTGCTCTGACCAGCAGACTGAGGCGCCGCGAATGGCGCAGCATAGCCAGCTGGGGGGGCAGCGAGGCGACAAGAGAGAGGAGGTCAGCTAAACCCCGATCGACCCCTGACCCCACCCTCTATCGCCCACTTCTTTACCTGCGCCAGCGTCATGCCGACGTTCTTGCTAAAGAAGTCGGCCATAAAGAGGGAGTTCCTGTAGTTGCTTTCGTCGTGAGCATCGTTGAGTGACTGCCATACAAACCGGACCTGTGTAGGGTATAGTTCACTTTAGGTCCACATCAATTGTTTACATACACGAGTCACGACTACTGACAAGTTTTAAAGTTGACCAGCGCGAATAGCACCCTCACCGACGTGGTACACAACGCGGCCCTGACGATGGTGACCAGGAACATGGTCGCGCAGGAGCGGCGCATCCGGGCCTTCGACCAGCGCGGGGGCCAGCCGGTGCAGCCCACCATCCCGTTGAGCCGCATCCAGAGCAGCGCGAAGCGCCAATGCACCTCGAGGACCCGCCACATAGCCACAGCCTAGCCTCGCACTGTCGTAAATCAAGTCTGTGACATTGCTTCAAATGTACATTTCCTTAGAAATGCGTAGAGGCCGGAAACAAAGGAAATCTCCAAAATTTAGCGAACAATTCATCTCGCAAAACAGAAATGATGGCCAAGATGGTGCTTACCCATTACCGACTTGAATTTAAAGTGCGTTTCCGCCCCGTTGAACGCCGTCGCCGTCCGCCTGGGTCCTCCCCGCCGCTGCGGTGCCGTCGCCCCGCCAGGACCTCGGCATGGCGCACACTGACGCGACTGATGAGCGTTTCACTTACGCCGATGAGCTGCCCATCGATTTGGACCTAAGGTTAGGGGGTGTTGAGCAGGTAGGGCGCCGGGCTCGCTTACGGAGTGTTTCGGACTATTGATTTCATTCATGTAGGCTTCGTGATGAGAGACCGGGTGTAAACATATTGAAATTTCATTAATTGAATTTCTATTTGCTTTCTCGTTTTTACGGAAACGTCTGTTTCCGCTCGTGTTTTCGTATGTACAAAACAAAACGGAGTGTCGTCAGCGACTGCAGTCGTTTAGTTGAGCCTGACTTCTCTAGCCGAGCGTGTACGACGACGACGACGGCGGCGGTGGTGGGACTATGGGGGGCGCGCGCGGGTTAGTGCTAAGAAGACGAGTCGCCCGCGGAGAGAAAGTTGGCGTTGGCGTTGTTGGGGGCGTAGAGGAGGGAGAGCGGGGGGAGGGCCGCCCCTTAGGCGAATGGCCGTCTGTCGGGGGCGGCCGAGAGGGGGCGGGCGGTCTGCGGCAGCCCCAAGGCCGGGCGGGAGCAAGTTATCGCCTCGTGAGTGCGCACGCGCGCGCGCGCGTTTGTGTGTGTTTTCTTCAAGAGAAGAGCAGAGCCGCTGGCTGGCTGCAAATTTGGGTCGGACAGACCAGCAGCGCGGCGCCAGCGCCGCACGCATCGCAAACTGCTCCGCGCGCGGAAGAATCGCGTTGGGGAAGCAGGGAGCAGATAAATGTGAGGGGGGGGG